TGCCCATTACACCATGCAAACATTGAAAATTAGTAAAAAAATAAGAGAAATAAATTATTTAAAAATAAAAGAAAGGAAAATAATTTTTTGTTAATAAGGAAAGGTCTTGCAAGAAAAAAAAAATTTTTTTGGAAAGCCCAACCAAAGCCTCTTGTAGGAAGAAAAAGCATTAGCAGTAGGAGAAGAAGAGGAAGAGGAAGCAGCTGAGAGATTTGCAATTTAGAAAAAGGGTAGCCAATAGAAAAAAATAGGGAAATCACTTACGATTTTTTTTATATTTTTAAATCAATTTTTTTGTTGTAGAGAAGGGGGAGGAGCAGTCGTTTTTCGTTTTTTTTCTTAATTAAAAAATATTGAAAATAATACATTTTTTTTTGCTAAATTCGTGGTGCAACTAAAGCTCTATAGTATTCGTACAGCTTAAATAGATATTTAGTAAGCGAATATTTGGCCGATTCGATAATATCGTATGAGTCTATGTAGTCGAGGAAGAAAACTGTGAAAAAAAGAGGGAGAAAGAAAAACAAAATATGAGGGATGGTGCATTTTGAAATAAAAAAATATATAGAAAGCATTGCAAAAAATAGGGGGAAAATAATAAATTACAAATAAACGTGCTTTGAAGCAAAATTAAAAAAAAAAAATTAAATATGTGGGGGAAGGTAGGGTGGATAGGTTTGATATTAAAAAAATTACATAAATATATATTAATATAAATTAATAATTATATATAATAATAGCTAATCTAATAAATATAATGGAATAATCAAAGAAAAAAAAAATAAATGAAAAATAACAAAAAAAATTTTAATTATTTAGAAAATTATCAGCCTGTTTTTGTAAAATTCCAAACGAACGAATTCGAGTGACTTACGACCAAACTCCTTGGTTTTGAAAAATATGTCATTTATTTTTATTTTGAATCAGAAAACCTTTATAAACATAAATAAAGGTTTGGTCGTAAGTCACTCGAATTCGTTCGTTTGGAATTTTACAAAAACAGGCTGTATATATAAATTAAAAAATAATTTTAATTAATTAACTGAAATATATTGCCTTCGTTAAAAAAATTACAAAAATTACTTTGTTGATTGAAAAAAAAAATAATAATTCAATTTAAAAAATAAGGCGTGGATTTTTTTTAATATTTTCTTATTCATTTTTGGTATGGAGGTTTATTATTATAAAATAATACCTGTTAGAAAATATTGGCCGAATCGGTTGACATTTGTAGATTTTAGAGGCAAAAGTAGGAAATTTGTGAGTACATTTAAAAGGCAGCCATGTGAAGACGTGGATCAATCTTATTCATTTTTGGTATGAAGGTTTATTTTTATAAAATAATACCAGTTAGTAAATATTGGCCGAATCGGTTGACATTTGTAGATTTTAGAGGCAAAAGTAGGGAATTTTGAGAGTAACTTTACGAGACAGAGCCATGCGAAGGCATTGACCAATTTTCATCATTTTTGGTGAGGAGGTATATATTTGCAAAATAATAACAATTAGAAAATTTGAGACGACTTGGTTGATATTTGTTGATTTTAGAGGCAAAAGTAGGGAATTTTGAGGGTACTTTTACAACCGATTTGTCCCAAACTTTCTGATTGTTAATATTTTACAAATATAAAACTCCTCACCAAAAATTATGAACATTGGTGCACGCCTTCACATGGCTGCCTTGTAAATGTACCCACAAATTTCCCTACTTTTGACTCTAAAATCAACAAATATCAACCGATTTATTTCAAATTAGCTGAAGACTATTTAATACCTTACACAAACCTCCTAACCTAAAATTATTAACATTGGATAACGCCTTCATATGGCTGCCTTGTAAAGTTACCCTCAAAATTCCCTACTTTTGCCTCTAAAATCTACAAATATCAACCAAGTCATCTCAAATTTTCGGATTGTTATTATTTTACACATATAAACAACCTCACCAAAAATGATGAACATTGGTCAACGCCTTCGCATGGCTGCCTTGTAATGTTACTCTCAAAATTCCCTACTTTTGCCTCTAACAGCTGTAAATGACAACCGATTTATCTCAAATTAGCTGTAAGATTTAGTATTGCCTATACAAACCTCCTCACCAAAAATTATTCAAATTGAGCCACCCGTTCATATGACTGCCTTGTAAATGTATCCACAAAATTACCTACTTTTACCTCTAAAATCAACAAACATCAATCAAGTCGTCTCAAATTTTCTGATTGTTATTATTTTGCAAATATAAAACTCCTCACCAAAAATTATTAACATTGGTCAACGCCTTCGTGTAGTTTCCTTGTATAGTTACCCTCAAAATTCCCTACTTTTGCCTCTAAAATCTACAAATATCAATCGATTTGTCTCAAACTTGCTAAATGTTATTCTTTTACAAATATAAACCTCCTTACCAAAAATGATGAACATTGGTGCACGCCTTCACCTGGCTGTCTTGTAAGGTTACCCTCAAAATTCCCTACTTTTGACTCTAAAATCTGCAAATGTCAACCGATTGGGCCAATATTTACTAACAGGTATTATTTCATAATAATAAACCTTTATAACAAAAATGAATGAAATTGGTCCACGCCTTCACATGGCTGCCTTGTAAAAGTACCCACAAATTTCCCTACTTTTGACTCTAAAATCGACAAATGTGAACCGATTTATTTCAAATTAGCTGAAGACTATTTAATACCTTACACAAACCTCCTCACCAAAAATTATTAACATTGGACCACGTCTTCATATGACTGCCTTGCAAATGTACCCTCAAAATTCCCTACTTTTGCCTCTAAAATCTACAAATGTCAAACGATTTGTCTCAAACTGACTCATTACAATTCCATAACAAATACAATCCTCCTCACAAAAAATTATTAACATTGGTTCACGCCTTCATATGGCTGCCTTGTAAATGTACCCACAAATTTCCCTACTTTTGCCTCTAACATCTACAAATGTCAAACGATTTATCTCAAATTAGCTGAAGACTATTTAATACCTTACACAAACCTTCTAACCAAAAAATTATTAATATTGGACCATGCCTTCATATGGCTGCCTTGTAAAGTTACCCTCAAAATTCCCTACTTTTGCCTCTAAAATCTACAAATGTCAATCGATTTGTATAAAATTTTCTCAATGTTATTATTTTACAAATATAAACCTCCTCTCCAAAAATGATGAACATTGGTGCACGCCTTCGCATGACTGCCTTGTAAAGTTACACTCAAAATTCCCTACTTTTGCCTCTAAAATCTACAAATGTCAAACGATTTATCTCAAATTAGCTGAAGACTATTTAATACCTTACACAAACCTCCTCACCAAAAATGATGAACATTGGTGCACGCCTTCGCATGGCTGCCTTGTAAAGTTACACTCAAAATTCCCTACTTTTGCCTCTAAAATCAACAAATATCAATCGATTTGTTTCAAACTTGCTGATTGTTATTATTTTACAAATATATACCTCCTCAGCAAAAATGATGAACATTGGTCAACGCCTTCATGTGGTTTCCTTGTATAGTTACCCTCAAAATTCCCTACTTTTGCCTCTAAAATCTACAAATGTCAACCGATCGTCCAATATTTACTAACAGGTATTATTTTATAATAATAAACCTTCATACCAAAAATGAAAAAGATTGCTTCACGCCTTCGTATGGCTGACTTGTAAAGTTACTCTCAAAATTCCCTACTTTTGCCTCTAAAATCGAAATATTTTTAAAAAATCCACGCCTAAGGCTATATATATATTCTAGTATTAATAATTAGTTGGCGTTTTTTCTTTTCTATATATGTATGTACTCTTATATATATTAATATAATTTATAATATTTAGAATATAATAAATTTAGTTTTGGGGGGATTTTTAAAGTTCAAGGGATGAGTGACTAAATGGAGGTTAAGAAGAGATGCCTTAGATGGGGGTGGTATGGTATAATTTTTATAACAATTAATGAATGATTTCGAATCGTTAGTTTTTTTTTTTTTGTTATTGTATATATGTATATGCTATGTGATAATCTATGTATATAATAGCTGATGTATATATAGAAGAATTTTCGGTTATTTTTTTATTTTTAAATCCTGTATTTTATTTGTTGTTGTTAGTAAGTTAAGGAACGTCTAGTCTTGCTTTTCATTAGATGTAGATTTATGTCTATTAAGATTTGTTATTGTAATTTATTAATAATATTGTTGTAGTTGTTGTAAGGAATACTTTGAAGTTTCTAGGTTAGGTTAAATTGTTGCTGTATGTGTGTGTTGTTAGTAGTCTATGGTAGATTATCATGATTTGTTTGCTGTAGATTTGATGCAAATGGTGATGATGAGGTTGCTGTCCCCGATGATCCCGATCCCAATACCGGTGCCGAGAATGGTGGTGTTGATCTTTGGCCATTTGTAGAAAAAGGTGAAGATGAAGAAGACGGCGAAGAAGTGGTGGTATTTGGTGTCTGGGGCAGATTAATTACACCATGTTGATTGGCTGGTGGTGTTCTAGGGGGTGGTGTTAAAGGCGGAGGTCTTTGTTGGCGATAACGTGGTTGCTGATGTAACTGCTGAAGACCCTGCTGCTGTTGATTGTGAGGATGACGATGATGCTGTAAACCATCACCATCATCATCACTGGAGTCCGCAATGTTACGCAATGTCAATGCATGGAAATCATTAAGAGTCTGCTCAAACAGATCAATTGTTGGCTGATCGGCTGTGGCAATGACACGTTGTGTGGCGCCCAATAGATCCTCGGCGGCACCCAGCAACTCACGGCTACCACGTTCCCGAGGTAAAGCTGATGAGGAGGACGTAGAAGATGTTACCGAACTTGTAGCTGTTGCCGTAACTGGCATTTGTAGACCTCCCGCCGTCAAACGTGGTGTGGCGACATTCGAACTGCTACTAATTAAGGCTAAATCATTTAAATTAAGCTCACCCGTTGTTGGATTAAAGCTGTTGTTGGCTGAGGATTGTTGCTGCTGCAGATAACTGGAAGATCCCATATGTTGTCCGGCATTTGTTGTCGTGGAACGTGTCAGCTCATCGGCATGTGCCAATGTGGAACCTATTATATCACTAGCTATCCGTAGAGCGGCATCTGTTGCAGCCGCTGTGGATACCAATTCACTGGGATTAATAACATAACCACCTAAGCCGTAGGAGGATAATCGCAAGGGACCTCCTTGTGGCGTGTTGGCATCCATATTGTGAGCACCGATTAAAGCATTTTCATGGAGATCCAGGTCGTCGTTGTGGTATCTGCAAGAGAATAAAAATATTCTTTAATAAATCCACGCCTCAGTTGGCCCTTGAAAAATATTCTTTAATAAATCCACGCCTCAGTTGGCCCTTGAAAAATATTCTTTAATAAATCCACGCCTCAGTTGGCCCTTGAAAAATATTCTTTAATAAATCCACGCCTCAGTTGGCCCTTGAAAAATATTCTTTAATAAATCCACGCCTCAGTTGGCCCTTGAAAAATATTCTTTAATAAATCCACGCCTCAGTTGGCCCTTGAAAAATATTCTTTAATAAATCCACGCCTCAGTTGGCCCTTGAAAAATATTCTTTAATAAATCCACGCCTCAGTTGGCCCTTGAAAAATATTCTTTAATAAATCCACGCCTCAGTTGGCCCTTGAAAAATATTCTTTAATAAATCCACGCCTCAGTTGGCCCTTGAAAAATATTCTTTAATAAATCCACGCCTCAGTTGGCCCTTGAAAAATATTCTTTAATAAATCCACGCCTCAGTTGGCCCTTGAAAAATATTCTTTAATAAATCCATGCCTCAGTTGGCCCTTGAAAAATATTCTTTAATAAATCCAGGCCTCAGTTGGCCCTTGAAAAATATTCTTTAATAAATCCACGCCTCAGGACCAGGACACTCCACATCTGGATTGACCACAGGTCTGAATTGTTCTCGTCCAACTTATCTATTTGAAGATGATGCACTCATTTTTTTTTTTTAAATTCCACACCTATTGTGGGTCCTTAAATTTTTTTTTAAGAATCCACGCAATATTTTCCGCATCGATTTCATTTCAAATATTCCACTTTTGAGATTTATTTTTAAAATAAAGATGTTTTTGTTTTTCCACTTACCGACTTTGACGATAGACCTGCTGGGCAAAATTCGAATCTGTTGTCACCGTATTACCCTCAATGCGTAGACCAGCTACACCTTTTTTGGGTATTGTTGCCAAATCACGTTTGACCCGCCGGCAGCGGGCCGGTTCATTTTGACGCTGCTGGATCATGGCATCAAAGTCCACGATATAGACATAGCCGGCCACCAAAATGGTACAGGAACGTTCGCCTTTTTTGAAAGCCTCCTCAAGGTCTTGACTAGTGCGATCATCGTATTGCCACCAACCTAAAGATATTGGGAGGAGAATGAGAAGAAGAAAACAAAATGCAAATGCAGGGAAGAAATTAGAAATGAAAAAGGGACTACAAAATTGGGATTTCAAAAAATGTACAACAAAATTTTTGTTTTGAATAAAAAGATATTTTGAAAGTATTTATTGAATAAGAGGTTTTGGTTTGGTTAAAAAAGGCAACTTTGATGGCAAGCAGCTATGGCCAATGAGTATTGTAATACTGTTATTAGAAATGGTTACAGTGTAGGGTTTTTCTTTTTGGAAAACATTTTTTTGGTTGTGTAGAAAATTTTGAAAACTTAAATCTAGTTTTGAAAATCTTTAAAATGGTGTATTTAAACGATAATCGTATGGCCTTGGCCTATTTGGACGATATCGCCGTGTAAATACATTGGAAATTCCTGCCACTCCTTTGGCAGGCAAACCTTTGGCACGACAAATTTTACGCCTACGATAGGGCATATCTTGTGGATATTGTACCATCTGGATGAAATCCAATATGTACATATTGCCACATATTTGAATTTTATATGTATAGTTATCGTAATCGATTAATGAAGAGGGAGATTGCCCTGATATAGGGCTATCATTGCTATCATCTCCATAATTGTCCTCATCATCATCTTCGTCATCATTATCATCACAATCATTTTCAAAATCTTCTTGTTCTTCATCTCCATGTTGTTGAGGTTGAGAATTGCCTCGAGTTCTACGATTTCTTTCTTGTTTAACTTCATCCTCCTTCTTTTCTTCTTTTTTAACAGGCATCTGTTCTTCAACTTCTTGAGGCCTGGGTTGTTGCAACAACTGAAAGACTTCTTCAATTTCGATTGCGGTACGTTTGTCGTATGCCCACCAGCCACCTGCAGAAGGAGTAGTAGGAGGAAGGTGGGCATTAGAGCGAAACAAAAATCAAAAAAAGGAAAAATCCAAAAATTATAAAAGCAAAAGAAAGAAAATTTGGAAAAAGAAGAACAACAACAAAAACTACAAGCTACAGAACATTAGGAAAATAGAAAACTAGCATATTTCGGGAGCTTGGGTGTGAGGATGTGTGTTTGTGTTAGTAGCATTATTTTGAATTGCCTTACCATTACGACCCTCATAGAACCACTGATAGCCATCGTCAGTGGCCCGGGTACTGCAAATATCCTCAATGCCATTCACCAGCTGTGGATGATCCAGGAATTCGGGGGGAATTTCACGTCGACACATGGCACAGCGACGATTTTTATAGGCAACACCCTGGAAAAAATAAAAAAAATTAAATTAATAAAAAGCAAACAAATCAAATATCAAATTTCAGAGAATTCGGTTGAAAAGCACGCTCAAGAACCCCAAAATATCGAAAATTGGACGGTACCCTTTTATGGGGGGCTACCCGAAAAAGTTGACCGATATTTATAATTTTTAGTGGATGCATTTGGCAACCAAAAAGAACCCAATGTACCAAATTTCAGAGAATTTGGTCGAAAAAAAAGCGCTCAAGATCCCCAATGCGTACTTCCTGATATGTGGGTCTTGTAATTTCGGAACATATCATGGTTAAAACGGCCACCAAAGAAATATGGGTATCATTTTAAAACTTATAACGAGTACTTTCCCTAAAAAAACATAAACATAGCGATCCGAGTGGAGCCCCTAAGCTAGACTTGTCCCTTTTTAAAAAATATATATGACTGCATCGGGACCTTTTGAGGTATTCTGTTTATGGAAATTTACAGAGGTCTTCTCATGTCTTCGGTTCCTTAGATGACCCACTTCTGGGAATTTACAGGGGTTTTCTACGCCTTAAAGCGCCTTCTAAGAGATCTGGTATATCTTAAGAACCACTTCAGAGGACTTCTGTTCGTTGAAGGACAATTTCAGAGGACTTCTATTCCTTAGATGACCAGATCGTATGCCTTCTAATCTTTAGAGAACCTTTTTGGAGATCGCCGGTGCTTTAGAGGATCCCTTTTGAGGTATTCTTTCAATGATGAACATCTTCTGTTGTCTTTTATAACCTCTTCTGGACAACTTCTGAGAATTTATAGAGGTCTTCTACACCTTAAACGGTCCACTCAGAGGTCTTCTGAGCTTTAAAGGACCACTTCAAATGTCTTATATTCCTTAGATGACCTATTCGGCTGCCTTATATTCCTTATATAACTTTTTTGAGGTCTCTGGTGGTTTAGAGGACCCCTTCTGAGATCTTATGTCCATGGATAACCTATTCTTTTGCTTTGGATGATCTCTTCTCAGGTCTCGGTGGGTTGAAGGACAACTTCTGAGAATTTATAGAGATCTTCTACCTCTTAAACGGTCCACTCAGAGGTCTTCTGAGCTTTAAAGGCCACTTCAGATGTATTCTGTTCCTTAGATGACCTATTTGGATGCCTTATATTCTTTATATAACTTATTTGAGGTCTCCGGTGGTTTAGAGGACTCCTTCTGAGATCTCCTGTCCATGGAGAATCTCTTCTTTTGCCTTCGATGTCCTCTTCAAAGAACTTCGTGGCTTCGAGGACCACTTCTGGGAATTTTCAGAGGTCTTCCATGCCTTAAAGGGTATTCTCAGAGGTCTGCTGTCCACGGAGAACCTATTCTTTTGCCTTCGATGACCTCTTCAAAGATCTTTGTGGCTTGGAGGACCACTTCTGGGAATTTACAGAGCTCTTCTATGCCTTAAAGGGTATTCTCAGAGGTCTGCAGTGCCTTAGATAACCACTTCAGATATGTTCTGCTACATAAGGGACCTGTTCCGATACCTTATATTTCCTAGAGAATCTTTTTCTGAGTTCTACTGCGCTTTAGAGGACCACATATGGTGTCTTCAGTCCATGTCTATGAAACACCTCTTCTGCTGCCGTCGATTACTTTGTAGGAGCTCTTCTGAGGTATCTAAGCCCTAAAGGACCTCAGCCTGTGAGGTCTTCTGTGACTTAATACACCTGGCTCCGATACCTTATATTCTCTAGAGAATCTTATTGAGGTCTTCTATGCATTGGACGACCCTTTATGGGGTCTTCTGTCCGTGCCTGCCTTTGATTCCTACGATTATTAAGCCTCACGTGCTTTTGAGGACACCTTGTAAGGTCTTCAGGTAATGGAGTACCTCTTCTGTTGATTCCGAATCATTGGAGAACCTATTTTGAGGTCTTTTGTCTGGGCCTCTATTTTTTTTGTTAATGATCTTCTGTGGCCTTTTTTACAGAACAGAAATTAAATTCAAAATTAAAATTGGATTTTAATTTTGAATTCAAATTTCTGTTTCCATTTAATAATGGTCTGCAATTAAACCATTTCAATGCCGCGGTCGTTTTTGTGTTGGGGGCCACGATGCAGAATCTGTTGTAAATCAGATTATAAATATGCACGGTATTGATCAGATATCAATCACATTTATGTATGTAAATGAATATAGCTATGTTATGCCGGGTGGTAGTTTGCAGATTGCAGCTGATTATAGACAATTAAAATGCATCGTGCATAGTTGGGCATTTGCGAGGAGGTGTACTTGAGCTTTACAATGCAATTTAACAATTAATTAATTGAGTGGCCAAAGAGCAGTAGACGACAAGTAAATGAACTTCCTATAAAACAAATATGGTTAAGGAGGGAGGGTGAGGTGTGTGAGAAATAAAATCAAAATTTACTTGCAGATTATTTTTAAAAATTATATTCGAAAATAATCTTTGTTACCGGGCGGGTACATGTTGGAATGATGTTCACGTGCCTGCCTGCCTCACTCTATTTTGGAATTTAATTTTGTTTCCGCCTTAGCTATTCCGAATATCGCCATGTGTCTTTAAGTGTCTGCGAGCATTCTTTTTTTAAACCCCATATTTAGAATTCCTTCTTCAAAAAAGCCATAAAAAATAATTCTGTGTTTTACAACAAGCAAAGAATCATAAAATTTTTGAAGGTCACTACATTAACCATATGTGGACAAAAATGTTGTTTGTTTTTGCTGTTCTTTAAGAAAAGGCCTGACGTGAGGCTGAAGAAAGAGTGTGTGTTTCTTTGTTTTGTTTTCCGCATTCGAAAAAAAAATTGTTTTGCTAAGCTATGCTGTTTCTTTTTTTGGTCATAATGATGGGGAAGCCAATCACCCATCGAAAAATTAATCTAAACATTGTTAATGCAAAACACGCACTCTAGCCCGCCGTCGCAGCCGCCACCACCCCAGCCAAACAGCAAACTTATTATGGTCATAAAAGAAAACAAAACAAAAATAAAAACAACAAAGAAGAAGAAAAAAAGTACAAAAACAAAATATACAAAATTTGATCGGTTCTCGTACTGCAAAAATCTACTAGATTTTCATATTTTCTTCGATATCAAAAAGGAAAATTCGTTCTCGTAGTAAAAAGTAGTAGATTTTTGGAGTACGGGAACATAGCAATTGTAAACCACTTACTTTGACACATAAGAAACAGAAAATATGACCACAAGGTAAACGAGCCGGATGTATGCAGGTCTGTAAACAAATAGGACATTCCAATTGATTGGTGGTGGTGGTCGATGTACCACTACTACTGCTGCTTACATTGGCCCCGGAGGAACCACTGCAAATGGCAGCAAGGGCTGCTGCTGCATCAGCTTCAGCTGATGACATTAAATTTGATGTTGAAGGATTTTCATTTGTTGAGGAGGAGGTCATTGAGGTGGCATCTGTAAAATACGTCATAGATAATTGCAAAAACAACAACAATGAAAACACAATTACAACTTACCCTTGGAACCTGAAGGATTTTCGATTTTGGGTTTTAATAAACCCATGGCAGCAGCACTACCACCAGTGCCAGCACTGGTTGTGGGTGCCTCTGTTAGATCCACAACATCAATATGGGGTTCAATGATGACAACCGATTCATCCAAATCATCATCATTAGCTTGGGAAACACTTTGTTGATACATGGTTGTTGTCACCGACTGATTGTTTGGGGAGGGTGTTGTTGTTATTGTTGTTGTAACTGCCAAGGCAGTTGTCACTTCCTGAGGAACATCGTCTTCCAAATTTTCCATATTTCAAAATAAAAAAAAAAACTAGGGAAATTCAAATTTAGTTTCCCCTTTTTTAATTTACACTGGCCGATCTTTATTCACACGCACGCAAAACACACACTAGCAGAGGAAGAAAAAACAGGTACAATCATTCAGCGAGCAAAACCAATCAAGTTTTTTTTGGTTTGGTTTGTTGTGCCTGCACCTCTCACTTTGTTGCTGTTGTTATAATAAACATTTCACAATACGATGCAAACTAATTATGTCAAATGTCTTGTTGTTGTTTTATTATTATAATTTATTACTTGTTTTTGTTGTTGTTCTATTTTTTATTAATTATACCCGAACGTCTTCCAGTTTAAATGAATAATAATTTGCGAATGATTGAAGCTGTTTGTTTTAGTTTTCCTCCAAAGGAGAGTTTTGTTAGTTGGCATTCACGTGGGATTGATAGCACAGGCAATGGGAGAGAGAGGGAAGGCACTCACAGTTATTTGAGTGCTGCACAGATGATAAATGCGTGCAGTTAGTGGGCAGACGTAACGTAAACGTATGAAATTGTGGTTTGAGGGTTATTTTTGATTTTTTATTAAAAATAAAGGGAAATAGAACCGTTATTTTAAAAAAATATAGGGAAATAATTAAAAAAGAAACTAGGGACTATATTTTTAATGAAACGGAATTTTAATTGGCGATATAAAGGGAGAAATGTGTGCAATCAGTGAGTCGACGTATCGCAAACGTATAAAATGATGCTTTTAGGGTTATTTTTGATTTTTTTATTAAAAATCAGGGGCATTTTTACCGCTATTTCAGAAAAAACCAAAATAAAATTATGAAGAAGCATACTGTAGACTATATTTTTAAAAAGGCGGAACTTTAATATGCCGAATAGAAGAAGTTTATTTCACACAAGCTGGACTATGACAATTGTTTGCATAGTTAGTGCACCAACGTAACGTAAACGCATGAAATGGTTGCTTTAGGGTTATTTTTGATATTTTATTAAAAATTAGGCATATTTTTAAAGTTTTTTTTTAAATCTATTAAAAATAATTAAAAATTATACTGTGGACTATATAGTTGATGTTTTTTAAACGATAAATTCACCCAACAACCATTTAAGTGGTTACTCGCACACAAAGTGTTTGACTATTCATGTCAGTGTGATTGAATGAGAGAGAGAGAGAGAGACGTGAAGAGCAACATGTAAACAAACGCCAACAGCTGATACAAAAAGGCGCCCATTTTTACACAGGCTAAAAGCATTTAAAGGAATTTGAGGAATTTGCAAGGAGTTTGGAACTTTTCAAGACATTCCACGAATGAAGCTGATATATTCCGGAAAACGTAACACCACAAACTCTTCCAAATGGCTGATCGACGTAAGGATATGTGGCGACTGTTATACAGTGTGGTAAATCGTGATGAGACCGGACTGCTGGATATTTTGGTCTTTGTCGATGATATATTGTGCAAGGAACCAAGTCTTATAAGACATTCGTTGAAGGCGAATACCAATAAATTCCAAGATGCATTTATATTGTGGTTGGTCAATAAACTGTTGAGATCGCTGAATTTACAAGAGGCACCGGAGGGGGAGTAAGTAGAAGGAAATGATATAAAATAATTGAAATTTTATAATAATGATAATCTTAGTATACATTTAGTTTACTAGCCTTTGAGGTACATACATATCTAATAAACAAATTCAGTTGAATAATCTGTTCAAAATCCGCAAATTTCAGGCGCACTTAAATGGGGGATATTGGAAAAGGTGATCCGTTATGGACAATTTTTGGTAGGAAGATTTAGCACCTAATGACAACTACAAAATATAAAATTCCAAACAAATCGGTTGGAAAACTTGCTTTAAATCCTCGAAATATCGAAAATCGGAATGTACCGTGTGTGGTGGCTACACCTAGATGTGAACCGATTCTCATAATTTTTGGTAGGGAGGTTTACCAACTAATAAGAATCCAAAATATAAAACTACAGACAAATCGCTTGAAAAATGTGCTCAAGATTCTCGAAAATTTGGTGTATCTTTATATGGGGTCTATACCTAAATATAATCCGATATCGATAATTTTTGGTGGAGAGATTGTGTACCCAATGAGAACCCCCTATACCACATCGCAGCCATTTCGGTTGGAAAACATGCCCAAGATCCTCAAAATTCCGAAAATTTGTCGTATTTTTTTGTGGGAACTATACCGAAAGATGATCCGATATGGATATTTTTTGTTGGGGAGATTGTTTACCTAATGAGAATCCAATATACAAAATTACAGCCAAATCGATTGGAAAATTTGATCAAGATCCTCAAAATACTAAAAAATCGGAAGATAATGTTATATGGGAGCTATACCTAAGAGAGGACTAATATTGATACATTTTGGTTGGAAGATTTGCTACCCAATGATAAACCAATATAATAAATTTCAACCAAATCGGTCAGATAATTTCTCCAAAATACCGAAAATCGGAAGTTAGGGCGTACAGAAGCTATAGCTAAAGTTGAACCGATATGGATTCTTTTTAGTAGGGGTATAAGCAACTGAATTACAACCCAATATATAAAATTACAGCCACTTCGTTTTAAAAACGTGTCAAAAATCCGCAAATTTCGGTTGAGGTTATGTGAGGCCTATGCCTAAAGATGGTCCGATATAGATAATTTCTGGTAGGGAGATTTGTCAGCCAATAAGAATTCAAAATGCCAAATTACATTCAATTCGTTTGGAAAATTTGCTCAAGATCCTTAAAAATTCAAAAATGTTGGTGTGTCTTTATATGGGGACTATACCTAAATGTGGTCCGATATTAATAATTTTGGGTAGGGAGATTTATCACCGAATAATAATCTATAATATCAACTTATAGCCAAATCGGTTGGAAAATGTGTTCAAGATCCGCAATGTACCGAACATTTGGGGAATATATCTATGGGACATATACCTAAATGTGGTCCGATATTGATAATTTTTTTTGGGGTGATTGAGTATTCAATGAGAACCCAATATATGAAATTACAACCGATTCGGTTCGAAAACGCGGTCAAGACCCTCAAAGTCCGAAAATCGGAAGTTAACGATATGAGAATGCTAGACCTAAATATGGATAATTTTTTATTATTTATTGTTAGGGACATTTTGTACTGTATCTTTTCAAAACAACTTTAACACATGTGACTGCACATCCCCAAACCTAACCTAACCTAGGGACATTTTGTATCCAAAACAACTTTAAAATATCAATTCAGAACCAATTCGAGTGGAAAATGTGCCGAAAATCTGTATGGCCCGCATGCGGAACTTTTTGAAAATGTTTACTATAAGTAGCTCAAGAGGCTATGAAGTCTAGACCTTATAGATCTCCTTATAAAATATATATACTCGCATCCTCCAAAAAAAGAAAATATTGGATCTACGTTAAGAATTCCGACGTCAGATGTTAGCTTGAATTAATCGCTAATTTTTGGATATTATTTTTTTTGCTAGGGACATTTTCTAACCAATAAACCCCTAAAATATCAAATTAGAACCAAATCGATTGGAAAATGTATCCAAAATCTGTAACGCCCGTCAGCGGATCTTTTTGAAATGGTTTACTATAAGTAGTTTGAGAGGCCCTGAAGTCCACACCTTGTGGTATATAGGTCTCCGTTGACAAAAAAGAAAAAACACCCGCCTCCACCAAAAAAAAAAAAAAAAATATTGGATCGACCTTTGTTAAAAATTCCGACATCAGGTGTTAGTTAGCTTGAGTTTATCCCTAATTTTTTTATGACACAAAATTAATTTTTTGTTGTTTTTCTTTTACAGACTCTTTTCCAAAAATCTGAAGACCCAACGTAAGCTGCTCAACTCCTGTTTGGTCAATCGGGTGGTGCTGTTCGAAAAACTCCTGCAGGCCTACCTCAATGCCATTGATGAGCTGTGCGAACAATATGGTAAACTGGATACCTCCCTGGAGGATGTAAAGCTAAAAACAACAGCCTTCTCGACCGAAGACCATGAAGCCTTGCGTGATATTGATGGGAATTTTAATTTTCCCCTTATCGAAATCAACAGCGATGATTTAGATGACTTCGTACAAGCCCTCATGCAAATAGTCCAACATGGCCTATGTGTGGGTTATGTAAATTTTCCAAAAATCTTTCAAAATAATCTCCTGGTGATATTCAAAGCCCTCAAAGTGTGTGATTTCCCCACCAAGCTTTTTTGCCTGCAATATGTGGGTAAGGTATTTGAGAGAACCTGGTCCCTCGTGGAAATGCAGGCAATGTATGAATTGTCTCTCCGTTCCCTGGCCACCATGTGGAATTATTGTCCAATGTGGTTGGCTAACAATTGCCTCAGTCAGGATAATTTCGATGATTTTATTGAGGAATCATGTTCGCTACTGCGGATTTTATTTAAATTTATAAATCAATTGGAAAAGAGAGCATTGATTGAGCGACATTGCTTCCAGTTAATGGAGAATTTATATGAGGTACATCAATGGCATGGTTTGCATAAAGCAATGGATATATCACGCCTTCGAGATGTGGCAGGGGCCTTGACGGATTTTATTTTTGCCCTGTTTGTGGAGAATCTTAAGTGTCCGGCGAAATATGAAACTCAATATGCCAAGGCAATAATAAAATATTCGGAAATTTTCCCTTTTGTCCTGCGGGCCATTACACCTCACTTGAGTCGGATGGGAAATCGTCAGGAGTTGGAGGTTTTGCTGAAATTTGTGGATGTGAAATTAGTGGCGGGATTTAAAGCCGCTGTGGATCAAAATGTGAAAAAGAAACCCTTTGCGGAATTTAAGGAATTTTTAAGTTTTGTCTACATTTTGGAGCATCTGATTTTGTGGAGGGACCAAAAATCGGCTAGTGAAGAGCTAAAGGAAGTAGAGGAGAAATCTCTGTTCTCAAATGTCCCTGGATTAAATTTGGACCCATTAAAAAACTCCCTTAAAATGTGGCTCACAAATGTATCCTCGTCGAATTCCAAATCCTCACATCCTGAAGAGCTGCTAATAGCTGGCCTTTTACTGCAGTGCACAAGTTTTAGGGACCTATTCACCTCGAAGCAAGAAGAAAAATTAATGGATGTGATCCTGAAACCCCTACAGAACATCGATGTATCCCTCCGCGAGCCTCCAGGGGATATTTTACAATCCTCCGAATTAGCTTTAGATGTTTTGGGTCAACTACAACTTCCCAAGGAACATGGCGGAACTTTCTCCAAATCCATAAGCCACACCCTGCTGCATTTAGGCAAACGTGTCTTTGGTGAGCGGAATTCCCATCAACATCTGGTCTCGAAATATTCCCAAAATATACAAAAGTATGTTCTACAAGGCTGGTTGAAATCCGAAATCATTGCCAAGGACCTAAGCAAAAATATCAAAGAGGATCGCCACTATCTGACGATGTTGAAAACCTTTGCCTGTCTCAATGATGCCAGCAATCCGATTATTTATCTCAAACACTTGAAAGAAGTCTCGAAAATAAGTCATCACAATTATCCCCACCTAATGGACTCACAAATCTCCTGCCATCAATGTCATCGGAAATTTCAGGAGAATAAAAAACTGCAGGATTTCCATAACGAAAGTATGGCCGTTCTTCGACAGCACAACCTAACCTCCAACAGCAACGGCAGTTCACCCCTCGAACTACCATCTCGAATGAAGCAATACCTCCTGCAGGAGTTCTTCACCAATCCTCAAATGGAATTCATAACCAATCACCTGGATTTCTGCCGTCAGGCCATAGGGGATAATTTCCTGCAATCTCTATTCCCCTCGCCGAACCATAAAAACCCCATTACACATGCCCACCGTAACCCCGGTGCTCAGTAAATGCATTCATGAAAATCCCGATTTTCTCAAGGAGATTTCCGCCAATATTCTAAGTCACATCATAGAGTCCCTTAAACCCCACCCGTCCGCGGAGACCCAACTACATCATCAACAAACCATTTTACAAATCATTACCAGTTGCAGCCAATCTCAACAGCTGTCGGAACTATGGCTCTATCATTTCTTTAAAATGTTTTTCTTTTATCTCATCCATCCCGAATCGAAGGTGGTGCAGGAGGCCATTCTATGTGCCACCGAAATGTGTTCGGTATATCAAAAACAACCCATCCAATTGTGGAATTGGTATAAGCGGGATGCTCTCAACCTTATGGTTAAGTTAATGATTTATGTCTACATCAGTCGTGGGGTACGCATGACAAGGTCTCTAAAAGCGGTAAGTTTGGAGATTCTATTTTCCATCGATCATCTAATATTTTGAATTTTTCTTCCAGTTCACCAAAATGCTTGGTTTTGCTTGTGTCCAGGAATTCATATGTAAATATTATCGCCTTTTGGTTACCATGATATTGCCCTATTGTGTCAAAGAGCCCCGCTGCAAGGGTCTATTGATTAGCATATCGAAGATAACACGAAAACCGGTTAATAACCTTTTTATTGTATCATTTTTGCGAATCTATACCCACATCTATTTGACGGAGGAACCGGAGATTGGTAATCGCTGCATAGAATTGATCGGCAAGTGTACCGGGGCAAGTCTTAGCAAGCTCATGAATACGGATGTAAAGGTAGGTGGCAAAATTTATTAGAATTTTCAAAGGTTTTCAACATCGTCAGATAATGACGATCCTCTATGATATTTTTGCCCAGGTCTTTGGCTATGGTTTCGGATTTCAGCCAACCATGGAGGACATAATTTTTTACGTTTTGGGAATATTTGGAGACCCGGTGTTGATGGGAATTCCGCTCACCAAAGACACGTTTGCCCAAATGCAGCAGGGTGTGGCTTATGGATTTGGAGAGATTCCCGCCATCTTCCTTGGGAAGTTACAGTTGGCCCAAAACATCTAAAGCCAATTCGGAGGATTGTAAAATATCCCCTAGAGGTTCCCTAAGGAAAACATCGATGTTCTGTAGGGGTTTCAGGATCACATCCATTAATTTTTCTTGTTGTTTGGAGGTGAAGAGGTCTCTAAAACTTAGGTACTGTAGTAATAGGCCCGCTATTAACAGTTGATCAGGATGTGAAGATTTCGAATTCGACGTGGATACATTTGTAACCGATATATGCGGATTTTCGACACGTTTTTAAATAGAAGTGGCTGTAATTTTATATATTGGGTTCTCATTCAGTTGCTTATATCCCCACCTAAAAAGAATCGATATCGGTTCAACTTTAGCTATAGCTTCCGTACACCCTATCTTCCGATTTTCGGATTTTTTTGGGAAATTATCTCACCGATTTGGTTGAAAATTATTATTTTTTGGTTTATCATTGTTTAGCAAATCTCCCTACCAAAAATAATCAGCATTGGTACGCTCTCCCTATAACGTTATCTTCCGATTTTTGAAATTTTGAGGATCTTGAGTAAATTTTCCAATCGATTTGACTGTACTTTGATATATTGGGTTCTCATTGGGTACATAATCTCTCCAACAAAAATTATCAATATCGGATTACATTTAGGTATAGACCCCATATAGACATACCCCAAATTTTCGGTATTTTACGGATCTTGAACAAATGTTCCAACCGAATTGGCTGTAATTTGATGTATTGGAATATCATTGGGTATATCTTCCCAACAAAAATTAAATATCGGAAAGGCATAGCCCCCAATAACCTCAATGCACAAAATTTGCGGATTTTTTACACGTTTTTAATCAATTGGCTATAATTTTATATATTGGGTTCTAGGTTTCTTACCCCAAAAAGAATTGATAAAAATACGACAAATTTTCGAAATTTTGAGAAATTTTTCTTATCGATTTGACTGTAATTTGGTATTATGGTTTCTTATAGGTTGGTAAATCTCCCCACCAAAAATTATCCGTATCGAAACAACTTTTCGTATAGTCCCCATATAGACCCGTATCCGCAATTTTCCGATCATCATTGATTTATTTATTTTTTCTCTTTTCCAGCAAACGGTTTCCGAATTTCTGGTCTATTTCAATCGCAGCCCTACTTTTGTAATGCAGGCCTTTAGCTGCCTATTGCCTAATGAGGTGGGAGGTCCCGCAGCTGCTGCCGCCGCCACCACAGGTACATCAGCAGCCCCCTCAACCAGTCTACGCTCCTTCAAAAGTGCCACACATGAATTTTCGAATTTTATTGCCGATCGCTTCTTGGGTGTGATAACATATTTTCAAACCTGCCTCTCGGAACCGTATTTTGAAAAGCCACTCAAAGAGGAAACCCTTTACAGTTTAGGGCAAATTATGCGGCTCATCGGACCCAACAATGTTACCCAGTTTCGTTTCAAAATTATTGCCATGTTGAGTTTTGTACTGACCCTAGATGATCGGAATTTGCAAAGTATCTGCCTGAAGATATGGAATATTTTCTTGCATACGGTGAATATCGAGGAGCTGGGTCCATCGTTGAGTCGCATTGTGGCCTCGCTGCAGCCTTTGATTGGCAGCTATGAGCAGGAGATTAATGATATCTATGAATTTTTGATATTGAAAAGTGGCAGCCTACTGGGTTCCCATATTTCCGATTTGTATTTTCTGAAGGATACCAAGGAGGTTAGGCAGGTGATTCGACAATCAATGGCCAGACAAACGGAATTATTGAAATTGGAGGGTGGCGAAGATGTGTCGGAGAAGCTGAGTTTCCTTTACAATCAAATTTGCAATGAGAATAGCCAGGTGCGGATCTATGGCCTGAATTATTTGGGTAGCTTTATCAATCGATATCGTGCCGAGATTAATCACATGATCTTGGATACGATACCCTTGAATCCGCTGATAGAACGTATTGTGGATGAGGTAATAAAGGGTTGTCGCCACGAGGATCGGAATATCCATTTGGCTTCGGCGAAGTGTCTGGGTGAACTGGGTGCCATTGATCCCAGTTATATGTCGGCGAATTTCTCCTTTATGGAAAGTACGGAGATTTCGTTGAGCATGCATACCGATGATTTTGCCATTATGGCATTGACGGAACTCTGCAGGGCATATCAGTTTCAAAAGGACTCGAAGTATGTGGATAATTTCTCTTTGGCCATCCAGGAGACGCTGGCGGTATTTGGCATCTCTCCAAGGGAGAGTAAGAAGCTAAATGTCTGGGATGCCCTGCCGCTGAGAATGCAACAAATTATGGAACCCCTACTGACCTCGTGTTATACAGGTTCTCGAAGGGATAAAAAGATTGGGGAACATCCTCTCTTCAACAGCAGTTTGTGTAGATCCTATGAGGAATGGTCCTTTGCCTGGGCCTGCCGCCTAATTGAATGGGTTCAGACAGATGAAACGAGGAGGTTACTAAATTCCTATAAGCCCAGCATGAAGCGGGATAGTAAAATGTTATCGATATTCTTCCCTTACATATTGCTCCACGTCCTGCAGGAATGTGAAGAGGGCCGGGAGGTGGAGATCTATGAAGAATTTATGGCGGTTTTTAATTTCTGCAATCGTGATGCCACTCAATCGGGCCGGGTGGATGTGGGAGGCTTTAAGGAATTTAAATCAAGTAAATATTCCGCGGATAAGGTGAATTCGGCTAGTTCAGGAGGTGGGACGGGCTCATCAAATGCTGTCGCAACAAATATTGGAGGTGTTTCCGAACAATTTGAGGCTTTGGAGACCGTGACTCAGACCTGCACCAAACTCTGTTCCGAACAATTGGATTTTTTGAAACGCTGGATACGTGAATGGCAAAAGCAGAATATGATGGGTGGTAAATTCCGCCAGGAGGATGTTAAATACAAAAACATCGACAAGTTCCTCAAGCAGTTTAATAAGGCCCAGCTCTCCAAGGCCAACTACAACTCGGGGGAATATGCCCGAGCCTTGCTATATTTGGAGGAGTACATCGAAGAGAAACCGGCCAAGAGGCTGCAGGAACAATTATCGTATTTGATAGAGATCCATGGCAAATTAATGGATTCCGATTCGGTAGAGGGTGCGGTATTCGTCAAGGAAACCGATTTATCTTTGGAGGAGGAAATCCTCGTCAATCGCTTGGTGGATCGGCCTCAGGAGACCATTAACTGCTATCAGCAGTTGTTATTGAAGGGAGATGCCACCATAAATCAGGATCATGTAAGCGGAATTATACAATGCTATCTTCGGACCGATACCCCTGAGACCGCCTTATTGATTACCGATGGCCTCTGGGAAAAATTGGCCGATCAATATAATGATGACTACTTCAAGGAGTGTAAAACTGAGATCCTCTGGCGTTTGGGTAGATATGATGAACTGCAGGAGCTATTGGAGGATACCGCCGTCAAGAGTAAGACCAGCAATTGGAATATACAATGCGCCGAGGCCTTTCTGCTTTTCCGACAACCCTCAACGACCCCGGGAGAAGAAGAGCTCTTTGTGGAACAATTAGATGCCATACGTTCCCACATTGTGGCCAGTATGCGTTCCTGTTCGGGTGTCACAGGGAATTCTTATACCCATTCCTATGATGAGGCCACAAGGCTGCATCTGCTCAACGAGGTGGAGAAGAATAAGCAGCTGCTGAATCAATTACAAGTGAATCTGAAGAAGGCTTCCGAACCCTTGGCACGCAGTGAACTGCATAACCTCAAAGATAACTGCCTGGAGAATCTGCAGAAATTCTTTAGCAACTGGGATGCCCGGCTGGTGATCTTGGAACCATCCGCCCGGATCCTAGAGGTTATGTGTTTCCGCAGAAATCTTTTACTGGAGACCCAGAGGATTCTACAACAAAACTATCAAAGTTCGGAGGTAAAAACCCAACAAGACCTCCTCTCACCCATTAACAGCGCCCTCAATGAACAAATTGTCAAGCTATGGTTGCGTAGCATACAAATGAATCGAGAATCAGGGTGTCTGCAGCAAGCTGAAATTTCCATGATGAAAGCGGAACCCTATAAACCCGCCACCCTCTTCCTCGAGAAGGCCAAACTCCTTTGGCAAAAGGGTGATCAGACGAATTGCTTTAAACTACTGCAGGATAACATAAATGCCCTCGAAGCTACCTGCAATGGAGAAATACGACGCATGGAACCTTCCAAACGTATCATTTATGCCGAAGCGAAATTCCTGCAAGCCACCTTTAATGCGGAATCAATGAATATATGTTCCGAATTAAATTTAAAATGCTTCGTTGAAGCGCTGGCTGCCAATCGGACATCGGAAAAATGTCTCCTACACTATGCACAATATATGGAGAAAATCTACGATTCCTACAGTCGCGAACAAAAGGAATCGGAACTTGGTTGTAGCCTCCTACTAGATACCATGCTCAACTATGCCAAATCTCTGAAATATGGGCACTCACATGTGTATCAGTCACTGCCTAGGATACTCAGCATCTGGTTGGATTTCACTTCGCAACAGGCCTCCGAACAACAACAGCAACCGCAACAAGGTTCCGCCACTTCGAATGCCGCCCGAATAATAAATTTACAAAATTTGGCCAAGAAAATGAATGACATGATCCAGAATTGTGTCAATGTCCTACCCATATCGTTGTTCTACACCGCATTCTCTCAGCTACTCAGCCGCATTGGCCACCCCTCACCTGATGTTTTTCGTACCCTTTCGAATATTGTCATTAAACTCATCGAACACTTTCCCCATCAATCTCTGTGGATGCTGCTGCCCATCATAAAATCCTGTCACACAAATCGCATTAAACGATCCCGCCTTATCCTCACCGATGCCCGGCTAAATAAAACCTCTTTTCAAAAACTGCTCAACGATTTCAATATCCTAGCCGAGCGTCTCATCGAACTAACCAACAAAGACATACCCTTTGATCGGACCTATGAACTAAGTTCCTTAGTGCGCCAGCTACCTCAACTATTTGCCGATCCGAAGTTCTCACAAATTATGTTGCCATTTGAGAAATATATGCAAGCCTCTTTCCCCATAACCTCACAGACCGCCACGGAATCGCTAAATGTCACCTCTGTGACTGTGAACCCTACAGCCGATGTTACCATGCAATCGGCGGCATTGCCCAGCTATCCATTTCCAAGTGGGGTATTTATCTGTGGCATTTCCGAAGAGGTGGTGGTGTTGCGTTCCGCAGCCAAACCTAAGAAAATTACCATTGAATGCAGCGATGGGAAGATGTATAATGTCATGGTCAAGCCCAAAGATGATTTGCGTAAAGATTTTCGCCTTATGGAATTTAATGGCTTGGTTAAGCGTTACCTACATCAGGATCCACAGGTAAGAGAACCTTGAAAATTTTAAAGATTTTTTTATATTTTTCAGGGCATTGAATGTATTCGAACGGAGCTAAATTGGTGACAGGGCGCCTGAACCAGTATTAGGGTTAGTTACTAAGTCGTTGGCATGGCTTTGGGGATCTTCGGATCCCCTGTGGACCAAAATGGCTCGGGGTAGTGCCCCAGCACCGGCGCAATCGTTGGTGAGGTCACAAGCCACGTGTCGTCGAGATCAAGCGATTGTGACCCGGCTGCTCTACTTCTTTATCTGTTACAAGTGCATCAATTCCAAACCAAAACTTTGACGAACCGGATATTCCTTGGGCAAATGAGCATATTAAGAATGATGAAAATCAGTCTCTGGCTGACAGAGACTGGCGTTCTACACTGGACTCTAAACGCTATAGTCTAGAGGAGCAAAGTAAGGAATACCACGGACACCACGGTGATCCCAGCAAATTCTACACAGGGGTATTGCTGTAGAATTAACGAAGGAAGCGCAGACCCTGTTGACTGACCGACTTCAAGTCTGACTACAACAGGTTCTGTGTCGGCACTTGCCGACAATAAACTTCAGAGGCAATCTCCGACGGAGGTGATGTCCGACGATGGGGAATCTGTCGAGATCTCAGCAACGGACAGCGGCTCAAAGGTTGGGAAGGCCCGAGAAGTAGCTGATGCTAAACATTACAAACGTGCTGTTTCGTATCTCCGCAAATTCGTTAGGCGAGACGCAAATTTGATTTCATCAAGGGTAAGATGAGATACCTAAGGAAGTTCGAAAGAATCTATCCTCCAGCTCTCCATCGTGAACTCGAGATGGACAGAATCTCCTTCTCGAATCCTATTGCTCGCACAAAAGTGGTAGAATCGGCGAAGCCCACTGTCTCTGACATAGGTGCTAAGACGACTTCCGATCTGAAGCCCACCTCGAAGCCGTACCCTAATTAAAAGGCACAGGAAAAGGCTATTGAGAACATCCCGAAGCAAAATGTCACCCATATGGGTGATCAACGAGTGGAGGGCTCTGACTCAAAGCCCGATTCTACGCCTAGCGACAAAGTTGAAGCTAAAGTTTTGGGTGGATCCGCTAGTGGTCGAAATAGGACGAAGGGGAAGTCAGGCAAGGAACCATCGTCTCCTAGGACAGCAAATGCCGACCCACAGAGCAAATCTGCGATGCGCATCCGCTCTTCAGAAGATCCGCAACCTTCACCCAAGAAGACGATGACTTCTCCAGCCATCTTATGTGGGTCGGACCAAGGGGATCGTCAATTTGGCAGTGCCTTCATGCAGAAGGGTGCCAAAGTCATCAACTGTCTGAACAAGAAATCTAAGGATTTCCGTGAGAAAACCGTTGGCGGCTTTGGTGCGCTCTGAGAAGGAGCCAAGTCGGGAAGTCGGAAGAATGTCTTCGCATGAAACCCAGATAGCCTGAGGTGACAAAATAACCATCCCGAGGGGCAAATCAGTGAGAGCCATTGGTTTTGCTACTCGAACGGCATCTGAAGGGTTTCGTATTGTATGTATCTGTAGAGGCAAAGAAGGCTTCCACTAGGAAGACGAAAGTCGGAAGTATGTCTTCGCAAGAAGTTCTTCGAAGCCTAGATGATCCGAAATGATCAAATATTATCATCGTACTATCCGATTATTCTCATTAGGATTCCAAGACCTTAGGAATAATTTGAAAGCTATGCTCGTCTTCTTGATACTAGAGGTCGCTGTCGATGGATTCTCAAAGCTATCTTCTTCTTGGCTTGAGGTTTCAGACTCAGCTTTTCTCCTCCATTCTTATACTGGGTTCTTTTTTGACGATTCGTCATTTTTTGTCCTTCCGAAGCCCAAATCCTCTTTGCAGGAAGTGGAGGGGGTTGTTAAGGGACCCTATAATTAAAAAAAAAAATTTTAAAAAATCGACATTTTTTTCCTTCCAAATTTTTTCAGGCCCGTCATCGCCATCTACGCATACGAACCTATGCCGCCATACCTTTCAACGAAGAATGTGGCCTGGTGGAATGGCTACCCAATCTAAATTCCTTCCGTGGCATATGTACCGGCATTTATCGCATGCGTGGCCTTGGCATTCCCGATCGCAACCTTCGTCAATATGCTCTACCCAAGACGGAACCTATCGAAAAGAAACGTGCCGTTTTCCAGGAGCTGGTTTCACGAAATCCTCCCGTTTTCCATGAATGGTTTAGGCAACGATTCCATTCTCCCCATAGCTGGTATCAGGCACGTAGCTCGTATGTGAAAACCTGTTCGGTTATGTCTATGGTGGGTTACATTTTGGGTTTGGGTGATCGACATGGGGAAAATATCCTATTCGATGAAACAAATGGTGATGCGGTTCACGTCGATTTTAATTGTTTGTTTAATCAAGGAGAATCCTTTGCCTATCCAGAATTGGTACCATTCCGTTTAACTCACAATATGACATTTGCCATGGGCCCCCTGGGGGTGGAGGGTCTTTTCCGTAAATGTTGTGAAATAACACTGAGGCTTTTGAAGGGAGAATCGAAAACGTTGATGTCGGTCCTCCGACCATTTGTTTATGATATTGGGTTCATTGATCGCCTAAAGACCAAGAAAACGAATAGTAATTTGGAGGTTACCGATCCAAAGGCCATAACGGATGTGAAAAGGATTGAGGAGAGGCTGCAGGGTTATGTAAGTGGTGGAGATTTATATTTTTTTGAAAAATGAAAACTAATTTTTTTGAATTTTTGTTTTTAGGTAAAACGCACCCAGGGTTTCAGCATACCCTTGTCCACCGAGGGCCATGTCAATTTCCTGATTAATGAAGCCACCGATTTGGATAATTTGGCTGCCATGTATATCGGATGGGGTTCCTATATATGAGATATATTTTTGGAATATATCATTGTTTGTTATTTTTAGGTTAGGTTCTCAACAAAGATCGTGAAGTCATGATCTTGAATTGATCAGTAATTACTTTTCCTATGTAAATAATGTTAAGTTTTCTTTTTTATTTTGAATTAATTAAAAAAATAAATAATGAATTTTTTTATATGAGATTAAAAAATAGGTTTGAAAATATTTTGAAAAATATCTAAAAACAAAATTTTTTGTAAAACCTATTTTTAGAATTTAATATTATGCCATATAAGGTCATTTCTAAAATCCTTAAAAAGACCTTATCGAGGCCTTGAAAATCCTCTGAAGTTGTTTTAAAAACCTCTAAAGGTTAGGTTAGGTTTGGGGATGAGCAATCACTTATGTATGTGGCTTCAACACTCTGAAACCGTTAGGTCCGCCTTCTGATACGTTAAAAAACATTTCTGAGAAGAAACATTTTTAAGGAAAATATATAGGGGATAGAGAAGTCTTCTGAGTCCTTTATATAATTTTTCAGAAGAGAGATGAGAAGCTTACAGGAAGATATAAAAAAGGTAAAATTGGAATAAGGTCGACGGCTATAGAAATCTGACACAAAGATATATTACGTGTCAAGGTTGCACTTTCCTAACCACTTTAGGTTTCTAATTATGCTGTGGATTAGAGCAGGTTCGGTTGTTGAGAAGAAGCTTAGACTCGGTAGAAAATGAGCTAGGGCGCTACGCGCGGCCTGACACTTAATGCTGAGGCCCAGGCGTCTAAAATTCAGCATTGCGTTCAGAGTTGCTTGTGGCGTACTCCTCCTGGCATCTGTTACTAAAAACGAGGCGACTCTTTGTACCTTATCTAATTTACGGGATTTTGACTTGTGGCGCATACAGTTCCACCACACAAGAGAACCATAGAATGGGCCTTACCCCAGAGTTTTCTACAACCAGTGTATAGTCGATGGTTTTAGCCAATGTATAACCGGAATTTGTCCTTTTCAATGGAGTTCTTGCACGCATATCCAGATTATAGCAATCAGCCCTCTCTTCGTCCGTTCCTCAGCGTTCCTATTCCATCGTCGTTGATAGTCCAGGATTGTACCAAGGTACTTTGCTTCAGGAGATATATGAAGTTGCACTCCATTCAGTATTTGTGGATCAAAAACGCCGAGCTTACGCTTACTAGTGAACATTACCAGTTCCGTCTTTGTTGGATTTACACCAAGGCCATTTGCCCTGGCCCAACGCGACAGCGTCAGTAAGGCTCTTTGTTGCAGAGTGGCTTGGTTTCCCCACTTTGGGAATGTAAGTAACCTTCCATAGATCCGGAACATACGAGAGACTCAAACACGCCGTATTGATCCTCTCAAGGATCAGATATATACTTGGCGAGGCAAATTGAAGCATCGCCGGTATGGTTGCATTTGGTCCTGGCGATTTATACGGTTTGAATGTATTGACTGCCCAACGTATCTTCCAACCATTTTTATCGTCAGATTTTTTCCGCTTTTGTAAGTTTTTTTAAAAAAGAAAATAATTTTGAGCATTTTTTGTATTTCAAACCACTGTGCCTTATAAAATACTTACCTCATTTTTAAATACCGATTTTACCGAATGTCTTCTTCTTCCATGAACTTTTACTGCAAGTTCTCCCAGTAAGGCATTTTTAAAAAGAAAAAAAATCTGATCACATTTTCTTAGTAAAAAAACACTGTCTCTAACCAATTATCACAGCTGATCATGCATACCTTATTTTTATCCTTTTGCTTTTCCCATTTCTTTCCTTGTTTTCCCACCAAAAACTATTATTTTCCCCCAATTTATTTGCATTTCATTTAATTTGTGCTTCAAACCACTGTGCATACCCAAATTTTTCCTTTCATTTAATTTTTTATCATTTTTGTTTAGTCCTGCTATTCAAAACATCCGCGAATGCAGCGCTTCGTATTTTTTTTAAAGGAAAATAAATCAGATTTTTTTTGCATTTCATACCACTGTGTTTCATAAAATACTTACCAAAGTTTTATATTTCGATCTTCTATTGTCTTCTTCTTCTTCCACGAACCTTCACTGCAAGACCTCCCATCAAAGCATTTCTAAAAGAAAAAAAATCTGATCACATTTTCTTAATAAAAAACAATGTATTTATCCAATTATCACACCTGATCATGCATTCCTTATTTCCATCCTTTCGGTTTTCCATATTCTTTCCTCATTTTCCCAGCAAAAACTATTATTTTCCCCCATTTATTTGCCTTTCAAATTAAAAACAAAAAAACAGCCGTTAAACGACGAAATACCTTAGCTTTAGCATGCCCAAACTTGTTGACATTCCAATTGAAAATGAAAGTTCTCTTGTGTTGAGAGCTTTTGTGTTTTGCTGTTGCTTCCTCCATATTCCATTCGTTTTTTGCATGTTTTGTTTTGATTCACTTATACTTGATATGCGGAAAACGAAGCCGAACTATTGCCCGACAAGTTGCTGTGTTGACTGTCTGTCCTTGTTCTTCAAATTGAGTTCTGTTTTTAAAGGCCAAGAACGTTTAATGAACGAATAAAACAATTTGCACAAAAAACATGCACAGGCACACACACATTAAATAAACGAATGAGTAGAGAAAAAGCCAAAGATAATAATAAAAAAAATTGCAAGCATGTTTGTGTGTGCTCTTGCTGTTCTATATATTTTGTGATGTGCTGCTGCTTCTTATTTAGGTTAAGTTTATTAGGGAAGCCATTTACTGCAGGCGAGAGTGAGAGTGTATGGGGAACAATAACGGCGGCGGCGACACACAGCGAGCCACTGCGAAAGAGAGAGAGAGTATTGTGTGTGCTTTGTGTGTGCGCTTTGTTCTGTGTGGGTTATGCTGTGTGTGTACTTGTTCTTGTTGTGTGCCTTTTGATTAGGGGAGCTTGCACTGCACAGCTTGTTTAGATTACTTTGCCTTGTTGTTGCTGTTTATTTTTTGCAAAAACATGATTACTGAGAGTAGGCATACGACACACACACACGAACGAATTTGGGAGCAGCCTCGACCTTCTCGTTGTTGTTCTTGTCGTTTGTCATGCTGTGTTTGGCTTAGGGGTAAGGCAAAACGGTTTTGCTTGCTTGGGGTTTAGTTCTATTTGGTGAGGCCTTCGCCTTAGCCTTCTATTTAAACAATTTCTGTGTGTTTTAAATTAAAAGAAAGAATAAATAAAGAACGGAATAAAAGAAAAAAAGGAATAAATTATTAAAATTATAGAAAATATTGTGTGATAATTTAGAAAAAAAAAATCAATTAAAAAAATTAGAAAATAAAAAGCCGTGTAGTAAATTTGTCAAAGAACCAACAAAAAAGTAATGCGTGTCGGGTTTTGCTTTGCGCTTTCGTCGTCCTCCTACTCCGGCCTTTCTTCTTTGAAGCTGTTCATGTGTCATTTGTTGGGGAATTGAGAGCAGCGGCGCCAAGTTTGCCCTACCGACCTAATTTCCTCCTGCTACGCGCGTTACGTTAGTTACGGGACGAAGTGATCCAGCCGTAAAGTGAGTGAAAGGAAAAATTGTGTGTGGAAAATCGGTAAAAGAGGAAAATAAAAAAAGAAAATAAAAAACGACGTATAGAGAGGAAATAACAAATCCTTTATGTAGATACAATATCCTATATGTGTCATGCAACATGTCGTTGCTTGCCCTTCTGGCATGCTGGCTGGTGTTTGTGTGTGTGTGACAATAAATGAAAGTGAAAAGTGATGAGAATTTTGCAAACAAAAAGGAAATTGCAAAAAATATATATAATTCTGTGCTTATTTTTTGTTCTTCGTTTTATTGGTTTGTGTGTCAGTTGGTCGGCTAAATAGAATATAGAGAGCAAGAAGAAGAAGCAGCAGCAGACACATAGTAGTCAGAGTGCATGTGAAATAGAGTAAAGTTGCTGCTGCAGCCAGACAAAGAGAGTTGTTGTCTCGCCAATTTTTGTGTTGTGTTTTTTTTGCTGCTGCTGCTGCTTTATTTTTTAAATGTCAAAATCTACTGTGAAATGAAACAAAAAACACACACAGATAGATGACAGCCACAAAGCCCCTCTTTGAAATTTTTTAATAATGAAGTAGAAATAATGACAGCAAAAAAGGAAATCAAATAAGCAACGATATAAAAAGGAAGAAGACGAACAAGAACAAGCATCACAAGAGCCACAGAACAACGGTATTTTTTTTTGTTAATGTGAAACACACAGAAAAAAATAGGTGGAATACAAAAAATATAGAATTAAATCAATAAAAAAAATAATGAAATAGAAATAAAAGAAGAAGAATAAAAAGTAACACATAAGGAGTTTAAAAAAATTAATAAAAAAAAATCATGCTAAATAAAGTGTAGTGTAGTGTATTGCATTGATGAAAGTAAAGTAAAATTAACTAAATGTATGGAAGCTGAGAGGAGAAGATGGAGAGGGTGGATAAAAAAATACAACAGTAACAAGAAATTAAGAAAAAATGTGTTCAATGGAAGTAAACACAAATATATCGAAAAAATATATCACAATATAAAACGATTTAATAAATTAAAAGAAAAAAAAGAGGAAGTGGGAAAAAACAAAAACAAAAATTATCAAAAAAAAAAAATAAAAAACAAATCTAATAAAAATATTAAATAAATAAAATTGAATTAATAAAAAGAAAAAAATTGTAAATAAAAAAAGAGTGAAAAATACAACTACAACAACATGTATCGGATGAAATTAAATAATTGCAATAGTAAAAATAAAATAAAAATTAATTAATTTTCAATAAATTCAAGATCCCGAACATCCGGAACAATAAAAAAACCCAACATAAAAAAAAACAAATAAAAAAAGCAAAGTATTAAAATTTAAATATTTTGCTGGATAAAATTATTAAAAAATACAACAACAAAATTAAAAAAAAATAAATATATATTTTTTTGGCTTAAGTCAAGTTTAGGGAAATCGGAATTTTCGGAGATATAGGCCTCCAAAGTTCCGCTAGGACCCTGTGGCCAACCATAAAGCGATAAAT